AATCGAACAGGCCTCCCATGTTCTTCAGCTCAGCATCGCCGAAGGAACGGCTAACGGCCAAACTTCCATTCACCCGCGCTACTCCCATTACCTGGCTTCTGCCATTGCACACCGAACACATGCTGCAGTAGCACGGCATCTAAGACACGGACTTCCTGCACGTTCCCGCCAGCGCGCTCAATCCGGGCTCTTTCGCGCTCAAGGTCTGGCTTATGGTCCTCACCACACTGGCGCCGAAAACAGGAACTTTACAGACCGTTCCGACTATGCACTTGTTTGAAGCTCTGCGCGTCCGTTGTGAGTGCGCTCTCAGTTCCATTCCCGGGGAAAATCGAACCATCAGCACGCCCCAGAAGCACACGGCTGTCGCCAATGTTGCCCACTCGGAGCTTATAGTTGCCTCAATCTACTCTCGACACCCCGCATCACAGCCATGCTGCAGGACACGAGCGGTTGGAAGCCAAGATGCCTCCAGGAGCACTTGGCTTCTGGACAATGACGAAGGTTCCTGTCGATCCGCTGGGCTGTTTGGAGTCCAAAAACTCCTTGTCTAAGCGGAATACCTGTCAATACTCCAGCGAGCAGCTCAATTTGCACTCCAACTTCAATGCCTACACACTGCAGAGACTGGGCTGNNCGGCCAATTCTGTAACAGCTTCGTCGCTTTGTGGCATTCCGTTTTTTGCAAGCTCTTCTTTGATGCGTCTGGCTATGAAACCAGAACACTGGTCACCTCCATGACCGTCGAAGACTCCGAAGAATCCCCAGGTATCTTGGGCATAAATAACGTGGGCATCCTCCATGCTTGGTCGCCATCCTTTCATCTCCGCCACTCCAACCCGAAATGCCGGCGAGACCATTGCAGCAATCTGAAGAAGGCGCGGGACCACTTGTGGGAAGCTTCAAACACCACCTCGACACTTTCGGGGAGAAAATCCATCTCCACAATTGAACTCTTATGAGGACCAGACACGCATTGATGTAAGTAACTAACACAATCTGCTGTGCTGAAACAGTCGCACTTCATGCTGGGAACAGCGATCGCTTCAGCGACAAACATGTAAGCACAT